ATCGCCCACAAGTGGGTCCAGCTTTTGGGTGTTTATCCCACTGCTAATGTAATTACTTCTTGAAGAAAACCAGACTCCCCCATCTCTCTCGACTCTGGTGATAAAACAAACTTTTCTCCTCCACTTGATGGGCTTGATACCTTGGTTGCTGGACACCTTACAAGTCAAGAGAACAAGGAGGTGACTTAAGAAGAGGGCTCTGAAGAGGCACAGGCCAGAGCATGTTCCCATTTGAAACACGCCTATGAATCCACAAGGGCAATATTTTTCCCTCTCATAAATGCCTTGCCCATGAGTTAACCAAGCTGTCCAGTTAATGGCTTCCTTCTGTCCTCTAGCACAGTTTTACTTGGCTCCCAGCCTAGCTTTCCTGACTCCTGGTGACCAAATACTTGAAGCATACTCTGTATCTGGTCCAGAGCCACTAACACTCAGGTAGTTTTTAGATGCTGACAGAGTGGCTATGGCTTCCCTCCTAATGTGACCCTGCATGAGCTTGGAGGTGGATTTGCCTGAACTGATTTTGTTGTGCCTCTGGTCACCATTTGTTACCATAACCTGGTATGGGCAGTTCAGAGGCTTCAGAACATCCAATGACCCAAATCCACTGGCAGGTGCAGGAAACTGGTTCCTTGTTTGACACTCCAGGCCCTGGTTCAATCTCTGTGATTTAAGGTGAAAAGTCCTAAGTAATTCCCAGATGGAAAAACTGGGGACCCTGCAAGTGGTACAAGGGCCTGAACTGTGCCACCAGATCCTCTGCAAGGGGGCTACAGGTACCCTGACCAAGATCACAGCATGCAGGCCTGGGCCAGCTGGAGGGCAGAGGGATGGAAAAAATCACACAAGCCTGGAAGGGACAGCAGCCAACTTGTGCTGCGTTGTGCAAAACAGCTGTGGTGTTGGCACAACTCAGTGGGAAGACTGGGATTTTATTCCCCTCAATTTAAAGAGAGGGAAGGTGCTAATGCTTTCAGCAAAGAAAACAACACACGTGCCATTTTAAAGCCTAACCTCGATGATCTTTAATCTCCAGGGCTGCAGGCACAGGCTTCTTGATGCTGCAGCTGCAGAGGGACCCATCCAGCTCAGCTCCACCTGCTCACCCTCCTGACATCCCAGTAGTGTCTCTACCAGTTCCCCTGGAGAAAGGGGGTTTTCTTTCCCCAAGCTGAGAGTGCAGCCAAACTGCCATCATTGCAGTCCAGGATCATTTTTGCTTCTTTTGGGAAGCAAAAGTCACCCAAGTGCTGCTCTCCCAGTCTGTCAGCCTGCTTTGCCCACACGAGCCCTGAGAAAGCATCTAGTGTTCTCGCTGGCCAGCCAAGCCAGAGGAAACCCAACCTTTGGCTGAATTATTGATGTCCTGGAATGCAGCAATGACTCTCCTCTTCCTGGAGAGCCAGAGTGGCACTCACAAAGGGCTACTCTGCATTATTCATCACCTCCTCCCCTTCCCTGCACACGGCCGGGGCAGTGCGGGGACGCCTCCTGGGGACAGGATCAGCCTGTGACCTGGCACCTGATTCCAGGATGCAGATCCTGGAATCGGTTCAGGGCAGGACTGTTGACCCAGCTGTCAGGCTCTAAGGCAACAAATGGAAGGAGTTCTGCCACTAGTGAAGGAGCAGCAAGGCACAAAATATTTCTAATGTGTCTCTTTACAGTCAGGAGCCATAAATGCATGATCATTTCATCTGTTCTGTGCCTCTTGGCCTCAGAGTGAAATCTTATATCTGTTCAGTGGAAAGGAAACTACTAAAATTGCTGTAAGTGTTACAAAAACAAATTCCTAGGAGCATAAGTCCTTTATGGGAAAGTTCTGCTTGAAATGCTTGAGTAGCCAGACTTTTAAGAACTGCTGTTGTTCTGCCCTGCTTTTCGCTGGGGACACTGACTTAGGCAGCCACCTGAGAGGGGGATCAGCAACTGAGACCTGTTGCCACTTGAAAGCTCAGATCTCCACTTACACCAGGAATAAGAAAGAACCAGCTCATGGGATGAGGTGGTGTAACTTAGCTCTAATCTCCTTCGCTGGCTGTGCTTGCATGAGAAGCTTCATCTGATCCCACTGCAAGCTGCTCCTGCAGGGGGTGGTCCTGCTCTCCCCTGCACCTGATGGCACATTCCCAGCAGTGCTGTAAAGTTGGGCGAGTTCTCTGATCCATCTAAAAAGTCACGTTAGAGGTCAAGGGGAGCTGGATCAGTGTACCCATGCACAGAGAAGGAGGTAGCGGTGTTATTGTGGAGGAAAAGAGCACTCTGCAACCTGCAGTAAGGTGGTACCAACAGCCCCGAGGCTGTGCCTGGCTCTGGTCTTTGCAGCATAGCTGATTTCTTAGGCAGGGTAAGGGAAACACTCAGGGAATGAGGTGGAAATTAGGTAACAGTCTCCCAGTATGTGACCTACAGCCTCCCATGCCTTTGCACCCACTTTATGACATTCCTGCCCTGCTTTCCAACTGACAGAAAGCCTCAATAAGAGGTTGATTTCTGGCCTGACCCTTTGGAACTACAGTTTGTGACTGAAATTCCTGCCAGTTCTCCCCTTCTGTCATAGCCCAGGCTTGCAGTGACCACAGGGCATGTCCTCAGCCCTCTTGCAGGACAAACAGCTTTAGTGCCTGTCCTAAGAACTGAGTGACTGAGTCCTGGCTGCTCTCTGGCCAAGTGCTGTGCAAATGACCCACAACAGTGGGTTAAGGGGTGGGTTACAGAAAATAGTCACAAGGGCCAGTGATACTAGGAGGTACTGCTGGTGAATTTTGCAAAGGGCCCCAGAGCTGGAACGATTCAAGAGGTTGGCAGTTCCACTGTGAAGATACTGGAGAGTTTCAGCAGTGATATGACTCTGCAGCAATGCTGTAAGAAGCTGACAGAGAACTGGGTTTAGGCTTGACAGCTCCAGGGCAGATGCTGGTGCAGGATGAGTCTAAACTGCAGGAAGAATATCTGGATTTGAAAATGAGATGAGATCTCAAAAATCTGTCTGGCAAAGGGGGAGGGGGGCAAGGGAGAATGTTAGGCTTGCATCAAAAAGTCTTGGCTTGTGTAAGAAAGCTCTTGAACAGATGACTGGAGAATTGGTGCCAAATACCTGGGAAGCCCCAGTTTGCTGCATGGCAGTGACTCAGCTCAGCCTGGCAGAGTCTGAGCACAGACCTGGGCTCCTAGCAGTGACAGAGGAAAAGTCTCAGCTGCTCACACGTCTGTCCTGTGCATCCCCCAGAGACAATCCCAGCCATTGGGTACAAAGCACAGCAAATACCCCCTGGCCTTGAATCTGCTTTTAGCCACATCCAGCAATAGCCACAGGGCCATGGCAGGACTGAGGTGAAAATAAGCACCAGTAACCAGGGGCTACTGGTGCTGAGGAAGAGACTAGTGAGACTAGTGCCTCTTCATGCATGGCTGCAAGTCCTCTGTCCCCACCAGGCTGCAGAAGAGAGTGTGACTGTCCTTGCAGTTCAGTGTCTGTCACCACCATTCTCAGGGGAAGCAGTTCACTGCCTCTAGCTGGGATCTTGCCCAAACAGGTCACTGTGTAAACAGACCTGCAGGGCTTCTGTATCTCGGACATCTGGTAACATTTGCAGGGCTGGTAACAGGACTCCTGCAGCCTGTTTGCCCTGGTTCTGGGCTTGTTCCTTATCTCACTTTGTTCCCAGCATTGTACTGGATGTGAATGCAGCTGGGGCTGCTGGGCAGCCACTGAGCTTGCCAAGAAGCTTTTCAGGAGGGGCAGCAGACACCAGCCCATGAAGAGGGCATCTTGGCCCATCCAGAACTGAGCTGTGGGATAGGGGAGAACATACAAGTGGCAGATCAAACAGGAGTTGTATTTTATCTAAGAATTTTAACCAGGCTTTAATCTCTGGGCACCTGGACTGTACCAGGTATTGCACAGTACCATGTCCTGATAACAGGGGCACCAGGGGCCAGCAACAAGGGCTGAAAGGACAACTGCAACCTCTGTAGGATCCCATGTGGCATAGCTGTCTGGAGGGGTGTTTCAGTGTTATCCAACAAGATGCTGCTTCCATCAAGAGCAGGAAATCATGCTTAAAAATACACTAAATGTGGCCAACATCACTGAGAGGAGCAAGTGGAAAATGAGGATGGGATGAGAGGGAATGGGATCTTCTCTCAGAAATTCCCCAAGGAAGCAATGGGGAGTGTCCAGGCTGACTCTGCACCTCCAGACTGACAATCCTTGCTTGTCAGATGTCACTGCCCAGTATGAAAACACTGAGGACTTGCAGAAGCTGCTTTACCCTGCTTCCTTAAAAGGAATCATGGAGGGAGAGAGAGTCCATTACCAGTATGAATCCAAGTACTGAGAGAAGTCAGATGATGTTTCTCTCAATACCCTGCTTCAGAATGTGTCCTAGAGGAAAAGACACATGCTGGGAGCATTTTTATCTAAGTCCTGAGTTTGAGCCTCCTTAAACCTCACTGCCAGCAAGGCAGGAGGTGAGCTGGGAGGCAGTGCTCAGACACTGTCAGTCCAAAGGCAGTAACAAGCCCTATGGCAAAACTAGTAAGATGAGGAGAAAGCCTGGCTTGTCAGGTGGCAGTGGTGCTCCTTATCCCACGGGGTTTGCAGGACATAGGGTTGATTAGGAGGAGATGAAGAGAGCTGGCGTGTTGCCTCACGTGGAGGATGTGTTGCTCTCCTGCACAACATACTGGAAGCCATGTGCACATTTAAATAGACTCCTCACAACTGGAGTATTTTGGTGCCAGACCTTATTAAAAGTTACTTACTCCAGAACACCTCTCAAGTCTGGGTTCTATTTTTAGCTCGATGTTTGTTCCACTCTTGGGCACAAAAGTGCTCTTTTCCCCTGAAAGATGCCTGGGAACAAGGAATGACACCTTGCAGGCTTTTTACCTCTACTCCTAAGATAAATGCATGAGATGGAAGAAGCCTCAGTGTCTCTTAAGAGCTTTAGTAGAACAGACCTTCTAATGACTACCTCCGTAGAACAGACCTTCTAATGACTACCTCCTTCCTGCAGTTTACTGAAGAAAAGCTGGGTCAGGCTGAGAAGACTGAACTAGATGCTCACTTTGAAAACCTTCTGGCCAGGGCAGACTGCACAAAGAACTGGACAGAGAAGATCTTGCGTCAGACTGAAGTCCTGCTACAGCCAAACCCCAGTAAGTCCAGCTCCCTCTGACTCTTGAAGGACAAATACCTTTTGCAGCTCAGTGGTAAAAGACATGCCCTCTGGCAGAGAGCCCTGTGCCATTGAGACTGTAGGAGATGGAGAAACTTGTGTTTGCACACACAAACCAGCCCAGGTTGCTCCAAGCCCCATCCAACCTGCACAGCCCAGCAGCGCTTCTGGGAACTGTGGAAGGAACATCAGCTCCCAGTTCTGGTGCTTGCTACCTAATTCATGATTGAGGACTGCATGGGGTGGGTCACCCAGAATGCCAGTCCCAGGGGGGCCCTCCATCATCCATCCTGTACCCACTGGTGCCATCCTCATTCCAGGTGCCAGAGTAGAAGAATTCCTCTATGAGAAGCTTGACCGGAAGGTGCCTTCCCGGGTCACCAATGGGGAACTGCTGGCACAGTACATGACAGAAGCAGCTAATGACTTTGGGCCAGGGACACCTTATGGTAAGTCAGCCTGGCTAATTTAGAAGCCCTGAGAATCCATCCCTTCTTAAGAGCATCCCCACTTCTGTTTTGGGTTAAGACTTCCTCAGTATGCCTCTCAGAGTGGGCAGTTTGGCCTGCTCTCCCCACAGCAACCTGCCTGTTGGTGTGTCAAAGCTGATGCCAGAGAAGGGTCTTCTCTAGCACAGAAGCAAACAGCCCACTTGAAGTGGGAAGTCTGTCTTACTCCACAGCAAGGAATGCTTCCCATTCCCAGTGCAGTGCTCAGGTCTGGCAGAGCTAGAGAACAAATAAAGACACATGGATTCAGGGTTTCCAGTGGAACTGGTTATAGGAGAAACACCATTTAAACTGTGTCCTTCAAGTGAAGGGTGGAAACCTTCATCTACCAGAAAGAACAGGAAAACAGATTGGGAAGGTTGGTTCTTGGCTACAAGCCTCAACAAGCCCCTTCTGACCACAGTGCATTTTTCTATTCTGAAATCCTAGTAGTTGCCCCTTTCTCTAGGAATTCTGGGCTTCTTTAAGCAACAGACCTGCACAGAAACACAGCCTGGACTTCCAGCTGTCCTTGCCTCTGCCACAAGCTTTGTTACTGCTCTCCAGATCAATAGCTGTTCAATACTGAGTCCTGTTACAGGCAGAACAGCTGTAGCTGCATTTATAGCCAGCACTGCCTAATCAACTCTTTTTTCTGCTCTGGTGCTTTTTAATTTGCTGCTCTGTTCCCCTGCCTGTTTTATGGGACAAAGATCATTCTGCGCACGCAGGTGCAGCAGTTAAAGGACATCAGTGGAATAAGTACCTCAGCAGATAGATAAGATCAAAGCTGCACTGGGAGCAGCTGGGAAGAGGCCTCAAGCTAAACCAAATTTTAGTTTGGACTGAAGCTGGTGTGGTACAGGCAGGGACACCTCATCCAGGCAGGGTACCCTGCGCCTTTGTCCCCCGGCACTGGAGCCTGGTGGCTCTGGGTGAGTTGGCTGAAGCCAATGCAATGTTAGGTGGTTTCTCCTGGAGTTGAAGGCTTCTGTTGTTGCAGGGAAGACCTTGATAAAAGTTGGAGAGACTCAAAGGCGCTTGGGTGCAGCAGAACGGGACTTCATCCACTCTGCCTCCATCACCTTCCTCACCCCCCTGCGCAACTTCCTGGAAGGGGATTGGAGAACCATTGCTGTAAGTCTGGCACCAGGGGAGGGGAAGCTTGCCCTGTCACCAGGGACAAGGAGGGCAGAGGGACAGAGAGAGACAGTGCTGGATCATCTCATTTTCCTTCCCTATGAGAAAGGAGGACTCCACACTTCTACCCTCAAAAAATGCAAGGATAGGGGAATACCAGTCCTAGAGCTGCTCAGGGCTCCCCCGGTGGCAGGGAAGGATTGCTAGTTGAAGTGCATGAGGAAATTGCCTCCTTCCCTGGTTCCTGCAGCTTAGGGGGCACCACTACCACAGGCTGCCCTGTTTCCAGAAGGTTGGTCTATGTCCCTGGTAGCCAGGCCCAAAACTCTTGCTAACGAGCTGAGCACAGCAACTGCTTCCTTCTCCCAAGCATTTTTGGATAAGGAAATAGATTTGATTCCTAGATGATACCTTGTCCCTCTCCCTCCCCAGCACCTTCCTAAGCAGTCTGCTCTTATCCCATTTTCTGTCCCTTCCAGAAAGAGAGGAGGATCCTGCAGAACCGCCGCCTGGACCTGGATGCCTGCAAAGCCAGGTTGAAGAAAGCCAAAGCTGCCGAGGCAAAAGCAGCGGTAACTTGCCCCCTCATTCTCCTCTCTCTCATCCTGACCCCAGGACTTGGCTCACATGAGCAATACCACATGTTCTCTGGGGAAAAACTAGGCTGCCTCACTCTGTCCTGGCTCTGGCAGGTGTGAGTGAGGTATTCCTCGTCTAATCTGGGAGCAAGAGCCATATGCTGGCTCCTTGGATACCCTCCCATGGAGCAGCTGTTGAAACAAATAGTTCTGAGCTTCCAGAGTCTAGAAACTTCTACTTGAACCAGGCTCCCATCTCCTGACTGCTAGTGGTTTTGTACTAGTAGCTAAAATGCTGCATCTACCTGAGGACTTGCTGAGTTTCCCTGGGGATCTCAAAACAAGGCAAGAGAGAGCTGAGCTGGGAGGTGCACCAGGGGAAAGGACACTGGGGCTCTGCAGCAAATATGTGCCATCAGAATAGGCAGGAATCCTTGTCAGCCTCTGGGACAAACTGGGATACCACCCTCAGAGCCTTGCCATGAGCCCATTTTCTAGCCATCTGCTCAGTTGGGCCTCTGGCCCTGCAGCTGCCTGGGTGACCAGTTCCCAGGTTTTTTTCCTTTCCTCCAGCTCTAACTGCATACATACCACACAGGGAAGCTGTGCTAAGCTCAGCAGCCTCCACTAGCAGGTCTAACAGTGCTCAGGCCTATGGGGAAAAGCCCTGAACAAAGCTCTAAGTGAAAAAAAGCAATAACTGCCCCTTGAGAGAAGTTCCTCTCATCAGTCAGGTCAGGCAGATCCACTGAAGGTAGTTTCAGGGATCCCTGATTCCCCTTCTGAAGGGGATGGTGCCCCCAGTCTCAGGGGGAAATGGTGCCCACTGCTTTATCTTGAGCTCAAAGCAAAGCAGGAATTCAGGCACCTCCTGTGCTTCCTGCCTTTCCACCCTCTTCCTCTTTACCTTGCTTCCTACATGAAGTGATCCCAAGGACTCTGAGCTGCACAGAGACCCTTGGGTAAGGAACTTCTCTGCAGCTGGAAAAGAAAAGCTTGGTTTCCTGCTGGAGCTGTAGAGCCAGTTCAGGCTTTCCAAGGTGTTCACCCCAAGCCACGTTTCAGCCCCTCTGCTTCTTTAAAACAGATCACAGAACAGAAGAGCAACCTCAACTGTTCCAGGCACCCACCTATTGCTCAGCTTAGCTTAAAGGTTGGGTCCCTGGCCTCAGAGCACCCCAGTGACAACTGGAACACCAGGCACACAGGGAAGCTCCCAGCCTGGGAGGAGAACTTCTGCCCCTGCTCTGGGTGTGTTAACTCATCAGTAGACCAGAGCATTCCCTGTGCCAGGCCCCTGTCCCGTGCCATACTTCTCCATCCAAGCTGGCCTAAAGTCCCACACCTCTCCCAGCTCACCCCTCTCTTGCTGCTCCCCCCCAACAAGTGCAAACTTGTGTTCCCACAGCTTCTGTCTTGTGTCTGACCCTCCAGATGTGCTGCTGCCCAGACCTGGGAGCTGCTGTTCAGCTGGTTGGGCTCGTGCATTTCCCTCAGACTTTGTGCTTTGTCCTTCCTGTTGATGCTGTTTTGTTTACTAACCTTTTTGTTTTGTTTCTTTGTGATTTGCTCAGTGTGAGGGAGATGTGAGTATTGACTGTGCTAACAGTGCTGTGATTTATTTTTTTTCCCCTTTAACACCTCTCATTGTCTCTTTCCCATTTTAAATGAAACTTCATATTTTCCTTGTCCCATTGGGACTGGCCCTGGAGCATGTACTGAGTGTGGTCAGGGCTGTGGCTGCCTGGGGATGGTGCTCCAGAAAGTTGGGAGCATCTGTCAGCTGCCTGTAGCCCCTCTGGAATGTGCACTTGGTTCCATCAAGGCTGCTTGCAAGCAGTGCTCAAGAGAAGCTTGGCCTCCCATAAAGACCCACTCAGCCTCCTCCAGCTGCAGGCAGGAGGAGACCAGGTTGGGTGGGAAGTCCCTCTCCTGGAAGGGAGGCAGGCCAGAGACAATGACAGGCAGGTTGATCTGGTTGTGGTGCTGTTCTGTCCTCCAGGCTCCAGGGCTCTGCCCATTTTCCCCATTAGGAGAGCAGAAGGGGGAGGGAGGTGGGTCCATTTTGACCACTGCTTGCAAATACAACTTGTCCATGCATAGGAGTGCAAGAGCAGCTTGCCTCCTTCATCCCATGTGCTATGACTTGTTTTGGGACTCTCTGGAGACCAAGGAATGGGAGGAGAGGTTGCTTCAGTTGCTCCTGATCCTTAAAATAAAAAAGTATAACAAGCTATTTCTGTGAAACATCTCTCCCCACAGGAGGAGTCAGACCCAGCTGCTGTGCTGGCCTCAAATCTCACTGGTGCATTTTTGTCCCTATATTCAGGTTCAACTTGTATTAGGAATCACTCCTTATTCCTTCCTCCAGCCATCCCCAAAACTCCTAGATGGTTTAAAAGAACCCAAACAACCTCCTCTTGTTGGGCCTGCCTGGCTGCTCTTCCACACACTGGTCACTCATTCCAGCAGGCTGCTCAGGGCTCAGTGTGTTCAACTAGATCTGGGTGAGCTACCAAGACATTAACCTGGGAGAAGAAATATAGGACCTGAGAGGATTAGCAATGTAGCTGGGTTGCAGCTGGTTGTGTGCCAGCCTTGTACAGTGACATCTGACCAGGAGGATGTCCTAATCCACTACAGCAGTGGGATGGTCCTGATATAAACTGGCTGGTTGGCTTCTCTTTGGCCAACTCTACAGCCAAGGCTGTCCCAGGAGGAGACCTTGTCTTAGGCTGGAGAGACCATGATTTGGGAGGGTGAGTGAGCCCAGTGGGGGTGAACTCCCCATGAGGAAAACCTCCAGAGTGTTTAAGTCTTCCTGCCTCAGAGCAGAAGTTTGGCTATGGAGAAGGTATCTTAGAGGTCTTCTGAGCTCTGGGATTACAACTCACACACTGCCTTGGGCAACAGCAAGGTTTGGGACTGGGTCTGCTCTGGCTAAGCCATGTCTCTTGCTGAAAATAGCACATCTGTTAGGAGGAAACATGCCCAGAGGCTTGGTGAGAGTAAGGACAAGTAGACGTGTTCCTTTAAAAGGCATTGTGGAAAGGATGCTCTCGTGCTGGTGAACATGCCCACTTAAAGGACAAGGCCCTGTACAGGGACACTTCTAGGACTTGTTATCAGGAAATATGGGGGAAGAAGGTCCTGCCCACTGGACTGAGCCAACATGACATGAGCAACCTGCTGGCTGCAAGGGAATGGAAAATGCTTTTGGGATTGTGCTGTCTCATCTCCACTCCAACTGGCCATGTATGAGCAGACAACTCCAAGTACAAGCAGAGTTTCTAACAGCAGAAGTACCTGCTGCCCAGGTACCAGGTGTGTCCCAGTCCCTCTCCTCTTGCCCCGGCCTGGCTTCCCAGGCTGCTGGGACACCTCCCTCCTGCCACCCCGTAAAGATCCAAACTAAGCTCCCAGCACAGGAAAAAAACCAACACACTAGTCCCTTCTTCCATCCATGGCCCAACCAACTCCTGCCAACTCCTCTGCATAACCTGTCCATGACCCTCTGTTCCCCACTGCAGGCTGTCCCTGACTTTCAGGAGACTAGACCTCGTAATTACGTTCTCTCCGCCAGCGCCTCAGCGGTAAGATTGTCTCCTCCTGGATGTTGCCTCTCCAACCTCTTCCTGCCCCTCTCTTCACCCGACTTCAACTCGGACCTAGAGCTCTGCTGTTTTCAACATTTTAATGTGACATGGGCTGCCCAGGGTTCCTCTGACTCAACATAAGGGTGCAGGTCACCCCCATGGGGGTGTGTGTGGTCAGGGTCTGGCACTTGTGCTGCTTGGTTTGCTTCCCAGTTTCTCTGCCAATCCTTTTCCACATTTCTAGTGGGAACCTTCTGGGTTTTATTGCTAGTGGAGCAACTGAAAAGAAAAAAACCCTCAAGGGGTAGCCTTCCTGGCTGGTTCCACCTGTACACTGGCAATGTCACACGTGTGACTGCCTGATCAGTACTGAGGTGTCAGTGCTCAGTGGCTTTGTAGCTGGTCAAGAGAAGCAAAGGTAGAGGAATCTCTCTGCCACCCATCACACCTCTGTCACAGCAGGCTGACCATGCAGGCATGTCTGTTCTGCAATTAGAGGCCAATTTTTTCCCTTCACCTCAGGGCTTGTCAGTGGCTGTCACACAGTCAGATCCACTGGGGTAGGTGACCAGCCTGTTGCATCTCTACTGTGCTGCACTGAGTAGCTGTGGTCAAGCAGTTGACTTCTGTGCTGTCTTCATGGCTCCCCATTGCACATTGTCACATTTCTCGTTAAAATGTTGAAAACTGATCATCTTGCTTCCTAAATAGCCTTCAGAACAACACTGATGCCTGCTAGTGGAATAATCTGGGAGTGGAAGAGCTGGGGAAGGGGATCTCTAGATAGGAAAAAGGATAGCCCAGCCTTCCAGCAAAGAAAACACATGGAATCCAGTTGGAATTGGTTAATGGGTAACCCATCCCATTTGGAGAAAGTGGAATGTCTGAGCTGGTAGCATCAGTGTTAGTTCCCAGGGGAATCTGTCCTGACCTTCTTGGAGAGCAATGCTGGGATCAGAAATAGCTTTGTATGAAAGCTAGAAAACTATTTCCACAGATAACTGGCCTGGTGGCAAGAGTCCTCAGGAAGAAGCTGCAGCTTCATTTCCACCTCTCCTAGCACAGCAACCAGCAGTGAGCCCGTGGCTCTGGCTTCTACCTGGGAAAGATCTGTTCCAAGGACAGTGCAGGTACAGCAAGAATGAATGGACTAAAACTCAACTCTAGGAGAATCAGAGGAGAGGAACTGGGCTTTCCCTGCCTCTCAGTAGCTCTGATGAGACCAGAGTGTCCTGCTCATTTCCTGAGGCTTTCTGAAGAAGACCTGAAGGGAAGGGTATGCACAAAGTGCATTAGCATCTTGCTTGTGCCCAGATGCTCAGCTGAACACGTGCACCCAACTTCAGACTGGTTGGGGAGCAGATGCCAAGGACAGTAACATGACCTATATCCCTGCCT